GACCAGCAGTTACATGTGTCAACCCAACAGTCCACAAGCCTACACTTAAAGACCACTCCAGTACCATTTCTGCTGCTATTTGAATAAATAAATGCTTCTGGTTGATTTCTGTGTTATCTGGACTGGCTGGAAGAGAAAAGGAGTCCCTGGAAATCCTGTTCTCCAGAAGTAACACGACTCCATTTGATGGATAATCTGCTTGAAAAGCAAAAGAGCATTTGATCTCTTTTCAGTACTGAGAGAAAGAAATAAGGGCAGAAACTCACAGGAATGATGATACTCACATATGAGAGACTGTTCTTATGAGCTGTAAAATAGGATATCACTGGTGAAAAGAAGCAGTAAGCCCTACCTCAGATGCAAAGGGTTAGACCTGTCATCCCACAAAGGAATCATAGAGAGAGTCATCACATTTGCAGACCTTCTCTAAAGCACCTCGGTGTTGTCACTGGATGGCAAAGAATAGGAGGAACGTGAGCTGCCTTCAAAGCAAGCAGAATGAAAGGCAAACACCAGGCACCATTCCCCTTCAGACTGGGAAGCCTCGGAATATAGCGTGACTGCAAAGATCTTTGCAGTTCAAAAACTTCTGAGAGGAACACACTCTAAAGGTATAAACACTCTGGAGAAGGCAAGGTCTATGAATCACTGCCAGTCAGCTTAGAAAAATGTTGTCTTTGCTTCTCTGTGGAGAAGTAAAACGATAAAAGAAATTTCTTTTATGTATGGATGGCTCAACCATAATGCTATTTTAAGTTTCTTGTAACCCATCTACACACAACTATTAAAACACTTGTTATAAAGTATGCATAGGGTGACTCATCCAGCTGAAGAATCAGCCTAATTGGTCAAAATTTCAGGACACTGTGTGCTGAGCTATAGAGAATCATAATCTCATCTATTAGGGGATGTGACAAGATGCAGGAGCTATCTCAAATTCCTGGAAGAGCTAGTGTGGAATAAGAACCGTTGCCTAGGGACAGTCTCTTCTTTATGATAATTAAAGAGCTCAGATCTGTGCTATTCTGGATGTTTGAAAAATATGCATGCATAAGCTTAAATTCTGGCTTTGGCTTGTTCATGTGAGAAAGTTGTCTAATAATTCATTAGTCTCTTCAATAAAAGATACCCAAAAGGAAGAATAAAGGGCATCTGTGGATTTTTCTGCCAGGTTCACATGGTCCCAAAATTTCCCCCAGATATCCTGCTCTTCTATATCACAGAATCACAGAATATCCTGAGTTGGAAGGGACCCACAAGGATCATCAGAGCCCTGCACAGGACATCCCCACAATCCCACCATGTGCCTGAGAGCATTGTCCAAACACTCCTTGAGCTCTGTCAGCCTTGGGGCTGTGACCACTGTCCTGGGGAACTGACCACCCTCTGGGGGAAGGACCTTTTCCTGATATCCAACCTAAGCCTCCCCTGAACACAGCTCCAGCCATTCCCTGGATCCTGCCTCTGGTCACCAGCTACCTGACTCAAAAAAACCCCCAAGAACTTGGGGAGAGTTTCCTTCTTCCCTGAGAATATTCCCATACCAGTTGACAAAAAGTAGAGAGAAAAGAAAGGCAACTCATAGACTGAATCAAAAACGTTAAAAACCTCTCCAGAGAGGCTACTAGTGGGTGGGGAGCACAGGCATAAGTAGTCCAGCAGAATTTTTACACACACACTCATTAATGATATTCAATCTGCCACATTTCTGTTTGAATTGATAATAATTCTACCGTTTGGGTGAAAAATAAAATATGAGACATCTCACTTTGTATTCTCCAGTAGCAGATAGGAGAGGACCTCTTGGATATGTCTTTGCATCCCTTTACTCTCCTGTCTCTTCCCAGCATACAACTACCACGTTCTGAGATGTTGCTTCTCACACACAGATCATTAGAGCTGTAGAAGCAAAACAGCTCCCCAGGAAAACCCTTAATTAATCACTGCTGTGGACTCACACCACTTGTACATCATTTCCCATACAGCTCTCACACATTTGGAATGCACCAAACCAGTGGACCATCTATACTTCATCTACACTTGGATGGACTGTTGGCCTTTCCCTCCAGCATTTTCTACCTGACAAGAGGTTGGAGTCAGGTGGGGGTCAGGCTCTGGTCTTGGCTACCAGTGAGAGGACAGCAGGAAAGAGCCTCAAGCTGGGCCAGGGGAGGTTCAGGTTGGACATCAGGAAGAATTTCTTCATGGAAATAGTTGTCAGGCATTGGAAGGGGCTGCCCAGGGAGGTGGTGGAGTCCCCATCCCTGCAGGTGTTCAAGGAATGACTGGATGTGGAACTCAGTGCTCTGGTCTGGGTGACAAGGTGGGGATGGGTCACAGGTTGGACTCGATGATCTTGGAGGTCTTTTCCAACCTCAGTGATTCTGTGAAATTCTCTGAAATCATCTCTCTTGCAAAATTGAATGGGATGGTTTCCCTGCTTCTGCCAGTGTACAGATACCAACAGCCCAGCTCATAATTTTCCTCAGCGTGTAAGCAAGACGTTGTGGATGGTATTTCCAACACACCACACACTTAGAAGCCTATGCAAAGCAACCAGCCAAAAAAAGAAAGTTTGATGATCACAGTTATATCATCTTTTTCAAAGCTTTTAAAAGTATAGCCAAACTGAGATCATAAAAGTTAAGTATTTACTATTATTCCCTCTTACAGAAAACAAATGTAAAATGATTTCATCAGTACCAGCTAATAGGCCAGCTTATAACCAGAGGGCAGGATTTTTTAATAACTTCATTAACAATATGCACTGGCACAAAAATGTGGTGCAGTAAGGAAAAAAAAGTACAAAAGGTAATAAATATTACCTATTAGTTCACTTTTGTCAGGAAATAATACTACAAACTTAATGGGATACATGGAAGCCTTATGAAAAGCAGGCTGAGAGAGGCTTATGGTCTTATCCAGTATTAGATGGGAGGCTGACTGATTAATAAGTTGACATTGAAGAGCAGAGAATGAAAATCATATGGACTTCAGGGAAAGGAAATAGTTTAAAAATGAAACTGTGATGCTGCCAGGCTGCAGAGGAAGAGGCCCAGCTCCCACTGGCAGCTCCCAGAGTGCAGGGAGGGAAGGCAGCTCACACCTCTGCCAGGGCTGTGCTCCCAGCTGGAGCCTCCGGGAGAGAGTGGTGGGAGAACTGCACCCAAAACAGGAAGGAGAGAGGAAAAAATACATGAAAGCAGAGGTCTGAATACAACAGCAAGTTGGTCATTTCAAGAATAGGAAAAATAAGATACTCTATAGAAGAAGAAATGAGATTTATCCATAGCAGTGGATGAGCTATATATTAACTCAGTGTGTAAGGATGAGATGTTCTTGATTGCTTTTTTAAAATTACAGGGCTGCAGGATTGAGTTTTAAACACCCAGTGAGGCACCACTACTTACAACATCAACAACGCTGTTTATTGGAGCTCCCAAACCAACAGATCATTTCCAGGAGACTCTACATTTACTGTTGTTTCTCAGGCACATTGTGTCTGGTTTTGATTTGTATGTTGCTCACACTGGAAAATGTCTGCTGTGGTTTCCAAGACTGGGATTTAACTGTGGTTAATTCACTGTTCCCTTTACTAGAGACACCAATGGGGAGTTACCACTGGTGGTAAATTGATAGTACACACACAATAAGATCAGTGAAGAATTCAGTCAAAATCAAAAGCATGTAAGGCCCTGGTAAGTAAATTTAAATCAAAACGTGATATCCACTAAAAAAAAACCAAACAAGAACCTATAAAATTTAATTCACACACTTTTTAAGAATAAATTATGGCTTTAAGTATGCTGGATAAAAGCAAGAGTCATCCTTGTAAAATATATATAAGTGAATTTCTGGAAAAAACAGAAATGGTACAGTTCTGTAGTGTTTCAGGAGAGAGCAGCTAAACATTTCTCCTTGTAATAAGCTGAACAAACCTTATCTTGAAGCTTATCAAGGATGAATGGGAACAATTTTTCCTGTATCACATTGCAATTTGAAGTGATGGTTTTCTTCTAAATTACTAGAAAATAATTATAATAAACTTCTTTATTTCTTGCAACTAAGAACAATTTGGGCAAATGAAAGACTATACAGTTCCTTGAGTCAATTCCTGTTAGTTGTTGAGAATGACACCCTTTCACAAAAATTTCTAAGCCCAATCTGAGCTTTCCAAGGAACAGAACTATAAACAGGCATTGCCTACTTTCTGTGTTTTCTACTCAAATCACTGGTGTTTCCTCTGACTTTGAAAATGTAAAATAAGGTCTCACATTTTTATCACTGCCATGCTCTTGGGTTTAGGAAAAGCACCAGGTCTTCCAATGAAAAGGGAGATAATACTGGCAGCTACACACTTGGAGTCTAATTTTAGGAGGAACTGAGCCATTCTAATATGCTGCAGTCAACAGGAACTCAGGGCACTCAATAATTCATGAGTTTCTTTCCACGTTTGAGTAGAGCCTGTTGAAAACCTCTCAAGGAAACATTTTCCATCAGAAAATTCCAATTCCTGTGAATCAAAATTGCTTACAGGGCAGGTTATGCTTGGATACTTCTCTAATATCTCTTCTTCTATGCAGTCTCAAGTGGCTTTAAATCTCTAATAATAACTTTTTAAATGTGAAGAGGGTTGTAATTAAAAGGTGAAACAAACTGTTTCAATCAACATTCACTGTGATTTTTTAAAATTCTTTCTAAACACAAAAGCTTGAGGAGAAAGAAGATTCGAACTTGTTTTACTTTCAGTTTGGGCTTGTAAATATTTTTATAATTTTTCCTGGGAAAGAAAAGGATTTCCTACTTTAGATGTAGTTAAGAAGGTATTTTTATGCCCATCCTAAAAAAAAAAAAGCTTTATACTCATGCAGATAAACCTCTCTTTGACCCTGGTGATGAGTGAATTGTTAAATTTGTTATGTCTTTACTGTCACTTTGATTCAGTTGTTTTACAATGAATGGCATTTGCATTAGAAGGCAGCAGAATAACCATTTCTTACCTTTAGTCTTTCTGTTACACCATCAGTGAAGCTGACTGTGAATTCAGCAATTTTGGGCACTCTGAGTTTTCCTTTGTTCTTCTGGTCAGGCTGATACTCTGTTCTTGTTTTCACAATTACCTGGAAAATATCAACACTTTTAAGGTTTCTGCCCACAGAACAAAACATTTTGGATTTGTTATCTAAGCTTTCCTATATAAACCATCCCCTGGACTTACACAAGCACCATAAATTAACACAAGCTCATCACAGCCTCAGGAATAAGAGAGACAGATAAACAGTCAGGCAGATACACAGAACTAGGACAGTGAGCTTATCACACTGAGTCTTAAAATAGCTGACAGCAAAATGTTTCACACCCACTTTTGTTTAGGACTAGGCATTTAATTTTTATATTGTGTTCAACAGGCACAGTAACAGCCCATCCTAAAGAAGAGTTTCACTAATTAAAAGCTCCAGCCTATCAAGCTCAACTGGAGCCAATTTAAATTTAGGCCATTTGATGTCTCATTCATTCAGGCTCCAGATTATCAATATTAATCTGATATTATCACCTGGGGTTTTCCCCTGAAGATCTGCATCAGTTGCTGATTAATCCAGGTTCTATTAATCTTACAAAAATGAGGTGGTTTATGCCAATGGAGAAACTGTAAATGGCTTTTAAGAGGGTTTGGTCAAATTACCTCTGTTGCATTGTCAATCTACACTGAATTTAACTGTGATCTAGAATGACCCTAAATATTTTTGGTGAAATGCACCCACTGCAAACACAGTGAAGGTAACAGCTAATTCCAACTGCTCCCAGAAGGGATGAGTGTCAGGGCTGTACTCAGAACAGCCCTTCAGAGGAGTGAGTGTATCCAACCCATTATGGAGGAGAATCTTGAAAGACCACCCATCCATGAGCCCATGCAGCTAAAGAGTGTCTGGAGAGCATTCCAGGAGATCCACATGGTCTCACTCCTGCTGGGAAATGCAAAAGAAGACAAAATAGGCTCATCTTCAGCACTGCCAAGACCTGGAGCTCATCCCTGGAGAAGACACTACTGCTGAGCTTCTGCCCAGGATTCCCAACCCAGGGACAAGGTCCACAAAGCAGCTGATGGTTTGGTGTGGTTTGCAAGGTTTGGGGAGGTTAAAAAAGGATGGAAAGAACATTGCAGCTCTCAATCCCAGGGCAAACACTTCTACTTTTTGGTCCCCCCATTCTGAGCTGCAGGATGTGCAGCCTGGTGAAAATTAAATACTGCAGGAGTGGTGGTTGGTCCAGACTAGAGTGACAAGAGTGATCCTAAAGCCCTTACTTAGAAACAAAAACACTGTGAAGGATTGAAAAAGATTAAGTGATGCACAAGGTTGAGTTCCCAGCTAATCAAGGATTTATTTCCAAATGAAGACAGCAAAGTCTGGTTTGGACCAAAGAGAACCCCAGGTATCTAATCCTCCTGCACTTAATGCATGTGAAAATCAGAGTGACAGAAAACCAGTGAGGAGTCATAAGCCAATTTTCTGGATTCAAATGCAAATCATTAAAGACTGATGAATATTTACATCCTTCAGTGAATCTCTCTCAACAGTATTTATTACAGTAGCATTTGCAATATTAAGACTTGGGAAGAAGAGGGGAGAAAAAGCCACTCAAATACATTTATATCAGCATTTTGTAGCTCAGGGTTTCAGATGGCACAACACAGATGACGGGAAATGACAAATGGGGACAAGCTTGATTTGACAGGTTTGGGATAAATCCTAGCACTGCTCTGAACCTACTACTGAATCAAACCCCATTTTGCCCACTATGTCCAGCACGCTGCGGCCAAAATAAGGCAAAGCTCACTCTCCAACCAAGACCATCTGGCCCAGGTCAGCTCCGAGTTTCAAACAAGCAATAACCTCATTTTCTCCCTCAAAAGGAGGCCAGTGCAGTCAGGACTCATGCAGCTGGCCAGCCTTCCAGTCTTCTTGCAGGCCTTTTGTAAACCCAGTATAGAAAATTACAGAGTCTCAGCCAACAACACCTGCCAACCAGTGTTTAGAAATTGCAGTCATTCTGTTTTCAAACAATATCCAACTCCCCCAAATTCATGCTTCCTGCTTGGTATAAATCTTAGCTGCAGACATAATTTTTAAATTTACATGAGGGCTTTTTCACAAACTCTAGCGCTGGGACTTAAGGAAGGACCATGAAGCCAGAATAAAAGAAAGAAAATCAGATTAAAACCTTACTTGTTTCTACATACAATTTAATTTTCTTCCATTCTCTGCCATCAACACCAGTTTTCTTATGGGTATTTTTTCCACTGTTATTACATTCAACCAATACCCTATAAGCTGGAAAGACTGAATTATGCTGTCTGCAGGGATACAGCATGAGACTGAAAATAAACCCACACAGCCCTTCACAAGGCATCCGATTCAGGTCCGGTAGCAATTCTATCATGTCTGTGAATAAATAACCAAGCTCAGTCCCCAGCCAGATCAGAAGCTACTTGAAGCACAATTTGCTGACTGTGCCAGCAGTGAAATGTGTGTGCACAGAGCCAGAGTCATCCTGCTGGTCAGTGTTTTTCAGAGAAATTTGCAGAGGTATCAAAAACCTTTAGCAGAAGAGGTAAGAAGTACCTTTGCTAAATACCTTCTGGCATTGCAAAAGCTAAAAGTCTACTCTCCAGAAGTATCTTTGTCAGACACCTGGTGGAACTACTCAGCAGAAAGACAGGGCAGTCGGTGAGGTCTCCTCTTTAAAGGAGAGCACAGAAATCAAATGACAAAGGTCAAAGAGAAAACTGAAAACCTGCAGTGGGGGGGAAGCATTCAATATTGTGCCAGTAATGACAAAAATGCAATTTTGCTGAGGACATGGGGTGTACATTTAGAAGAAAAGAGCTACCTCTTGCTCAGTCCCCTGTAGCCTAAATAAATCACCCTGAGCAAACTCTTGCAAAGTTAAAAGTGCAAATTTAGAAAAGGAATAATAATCTTACAAAGAAACTTTTCTGTATTTTAAGCATTACTGGATTTTTTTATTATTATTTTTGTTGGTTGATCTGTTTTCATTTTCCAGTTTTCTGTTTGAGCTGGGTGGGAAGGTTCTGCTTTCCCCACCCTCACCGTTCCCTGCCATCACTCCTTTTCCACCTTTTCTTTCCATTTTGTCAGTGAGAAAAAAAATTCCTAGCAGTAAAGTTCCAGAAATGCTACCCAAATTGCTGTTGAATGTGGAGTAATAAAACCCCCCTGACTCCACAGTCGGCGCAATGATCAGCGTTCATTCATCACCGGCTGCCCCGGAGCAGTTCCAGCCCAGCCCAGGATCCCACTGTTTCCATGCAAACAAGGTACATTCATCTCACACCAGGACAGGCTTCCTGGGAGAGCTACCGGCGTTTATTACAAGCCACAGCAAACACACTGACCCCCACTCCCTCTCCTTGTGGGTTCTGCAGCGTTGCTGACTTGGGCAGAGTCACTCTGGATTGAAACCAGTGGAAGTGAATATAAAACTGGGCTCCTGTGTAGGCTGCAATTCAAACTGAAGTGAAAGAAATGCTCATCTCCTCGTTCCCTTCCCTGGCATGCTCTCACTGTTGGAAACGAGCTGCTGTAAGGGGGCAACTTCCAGAATTGGCAGCAGCTTGGCTGTGCTCGGGCCTCCTGAGTACTGACAATAAACTGAATCAAACCGGTGCTTAAATGGTCAAGTAATCTCTAGAATACTCACACAAAAAAAAAGACAATTAGCCTCTTCTCCACTCCCACTGCAGAAACACCTCTCTGCCCATTCTCTTCACTTGTCTCCTTGAGCTCTCAGTTCCTGCTGCCAGCTCCACCAGGCTTGTCTTAACTCAGTCCTCCTGGTGAGAAGGGTCTGGCTGGTCTAAGCTGGCATCCCTAACCATAAGCTTATTGGAGTAGAGAATTACTGTATTATTATTTTATTATGATTTATTTTATTGTTTTATTATTTCTGAAGCAACCTGCACACCTGCAAATGAATATTAAAAAGCAAGAGCAGTCCCAACAGCTCTTCGAACTGCCTGAGCCTTTGCGATTGCTGGATAAAAACCCTTAGAACCCTTTTGGACACTTATCAGCCTCTGTGTTCTGTTATCTAGGCTCTGAATCAGCACCAGCTCATAACTGTGACCCACCTGGTGTGCTGTGATTGTCCACCAAAGAGAGCAGCCTCCCTGCCAGCTTAGTCCAGCCCTTCTGTAGCCCTTTACAGTCTGAACTGGGGATGGAGCCCAGGTGAATATAGCTCAGGGGATCTCCCTGCAAATTAACTTGCTGCTGTGACCTGTTCTTAAAAGTTTTCACACCATCTCCCAGAGATCATCTACCTTTAGGTTGCAGAGACTGTGCTGTTTATGGCAGATGCAATAAAGGGGACACAAATAAATTACCTGTGACTTTCTTCATTTTACATCTGATATAAAACTGTTCTTTGAAAGCTGCCTCCGAGATGAGGTTTGCCCAGTGACTGTAAGAATACCGGAGGAGAGAAAAGGGCTTCCATGGACCACCAAAAAGAGGAATCTAATGACAGGAATCCACACTGCAGTCCTTGAAGCTTCCTCCTTAACCAGGTTTATCTGGTATTCGAACTAATTAATTACCAATTCAGCAAAGCACTTAAGCATGCAAGTAGTCCTATTAACATCAGCAGGATTAGCTGGATATTTAAAGTTAACAGTGCATTTAAGTGCTTTGGCTGATCAGAGCTTCAACTGGCTTGAGGCACCTTCCCACAGCCAGTTCCAATGCTGCTGGCAGGGGATCCTGGGAATTCTTAGTCAAGTGCTCAAGGGCTGTGCACACCAGCATGACCCCAGGATCCCATATTACTGAGAGAGGAGGAGGGAAAAAAAGGACAAAAAAAGAACCTCAGTAATGTGCTGAGTCACACCAGCATTTGGTGGCAGAGTCAGGAGTTCAGACCACAGGTCGCTGCTACTTACAGTGCACCGTGTTTCTCAGGCTTTCATTAATGACTGACAATAGTAGCTCCAGCAGATTTTCCATACAAATATAACATTTGTGGGATTAAGGGCTAGCAAAGTGTGACTGGGATGGGAAGGAAGTCATATGCTCTATGGAAAATGGCAGCTCTCTGCAGA